GGCTGGCTTCAGAACTCCACTCTGGCAACAGCAGTGACCCTCCAAGCTGCAACAGGCTGGCAGTTCAGATAAAGCAAGGAGGTGAGGTCAGGATTAGGGATGTGAGACTGGTAGCCATCAACAAAGAGGTGATATTCAAAGCCATGAGATTGATGCAGCAGTTGGACGGAATAAAAATAAAAAGGAAGGGAGGAGCCAAGATGGCAGCATGAGTAGAGCAGTGGAAATCTCCTCCCAAAACCATACATATTTTTGAAAATACAACAAATACAACTATCCCTTTAAAGAGACACCAGAAGATACAGGATAACAGCCAGGCTACATCTACACCTGCGAGAACCCAGCACCTCATGAAGGGGGTAAGATACAAGCTGTGGCCCAGGGGGACCCAAGTGCGACCCTCACCCCAGCTCCCGGCAGGAGGAGAGGAGTCAGAGCAGGGAGGGAGAGGGAGCCCAGGACTGCTAAACACCCAGCCCTAGCCATCCACACTGGGAGCACAGACATACAGGGCATGGTGTGCTGGATACTAGGAAAACGGAACAGTAAAACCTGTGACCAGGCCCCTGCAGCCGGCGCCCCTGGGACAAAAGAAAAGCGAGTGCTTTTTGAAAGTCTTAAAGAGACAGGGACCCCACAGCTGGACGGAAGCATCCCGGGGCACTTAGCCCAGCAGCTGGGAATCCCAGGGAACTCTGGGCGCCCTAAGCCCCTGAGCGACAGGGCAGCTCTGAGGCCCCTTACAGCAATAAACAGCCTCCCACCCATTCCCCCTATGGCATGGCCCCACCAAAGCGGAGCAGCAGCCTGACAGCAGCCATACCCACAACAACCGCGCGGAGCTTAACTCCACAGCAGCCCAGGCAAGAATCAGAGACTCCATCTGCGTGCAGCTGCCCAGCACAAGCCACTAGGGGTCGCCATTCTCCTAGGAGAGGAAGGCCACAAACTAGCAAGAAGGGATGTTCTCCCAGCTGACACATGTGCCAACTCCCCACAACTACCTCTATTGCCTTGAAAAGGCAGAAAAATTTGATTCAGACCAGAATCACACAGACATCCTCCCCTGAGAGGGAACCTGGGGAGATAGACCTAACCAATCTTCCTGAAAAAGAATTCAAAATAAAGGTTATAACCATGCTGATGGAGCTGCAGAGAAAAATGCAAAAGCTAACGGATAACATTGGGAGGGAGACTACAGAAACAAAGCAATCTCTGGAAGGACTTAAAAGCAGAATGGATGAGATGCAAGAGGCCATTAATGGAATAGAAACCAGAGAACAGGAGAGCATAGAAGCTGATGCAGAGAGAGATAAAAGGATCTCCAGAAATGAAACAATATTAAGAGAACTGTGTGACCAATCCAAAAGGAACAATATCCGCATTATAGGGGTACCAGAAGAAGAAAAGAAAGAAAAAGGGATAGAAAGTGTATTTGAAGAAATAATTGTTGAAAACTTTCCCAAATTGGGGGAGGAATAATCACTCAGACCACAGAAGCACACAGAACTCCCAACAGAAGGGACCCAAGGAGGACGACACCAAGACACATAATAATTAAAATGGCAAAGATCAAGGACAAGGACAGCGTTTTAAAGGCAGCTAGAGAGAGGAAAAAGGTCACCTACAAAGGAAAACCCATCAGGCTATCATCAGACTGCTCAACAGAAACCTTACAGGCCAGAAGAGAATGGCATGATATATTCAATGCAATGGAAAAGAAGGGCCTTGAACCAAGGATACTGTATCCAGCACGATTATCAATTAAATACGAAGGAGGGATTAAACAATTCCCAGACAAGCAAAAGTTGAGGGAATTTGCCTCCCACAAACCACCTCTACAGGGTATTTTAGAGGGACTGCTCTAAATGGGAGCACTCCTAAGGCTAAGCAGAGAAAATAAAATCACAGCAAAGAAAGCAGACCAACCAAATACTAACTAAAGGCAAAAAAATAAAATCAACTACTCACAAAAGCAGTCAAAGGAAACATAAAAGAGCATAGAATAAAACACCCAACATGTAAAGAATGGAGGAGGAGGAATAAGAAGGGAGAGAAATAAAGAAACATCAGACAGTGTTTATAATAGCTCAATAAGCAAGTTAAGTTAGACAGTAAGATAGTAAAGAAGCTAACCTTGAACCTTTGGTAACCGCGAATTTAAAGCCTGCAATGGCAATAAGTATATATCTTTCAATAATCACCCTAAATGTAAATGGACTGAATGCACCAATCAAAAGACACAGAGCAAAATAATAGAAAAATAAAAAGGAAAGGGGTAAGATGCTTTCTGGAATATTTTAACAGGCAATAAAAAGCAGGACATCCAAAGGAACCAGACTATGAATAAACTGAGAAAGAAGTGACAACATCTCAGTTATAAAAAAAAAGGAGGATAATTCTGAGATTCAGCATCCAGTAATAATAGGATGAGGCCTGAGGAAAAGCCATGGAGTTCGCCTGAAAGGCTGTCACTCACTACATTCTACAGAGGGAAGATTTGTCCAACTCTGGAGTCAGAGGTCAAATTATGTTAGAGGTGGCGGGCAGGGGCAAGTGATGAGGAAGGAAAAATGGCCACAAAAGCAAGGAGAGAGAAAAGAGCTTTCAGAGGAGTGGCATGGGGGTTTCTTGGGATAAGGGACACTGGTGTAAGTCTGAAGTCAGAGCCAGTGAAGAAGGGACGGCAGCAGTGACACCACTCACCCTCCTGCCCTTTGGGTCAAACCCAAGCCCTGCCTCCTCTCTTGCCAACCTCCCTGTCCCACTCTGCAGTCTCTTCGTGAACCATGTAACTTGCTCATTCCTACCTCCTTGCCTTCACACCTGCCATTCCCAGCTCAGGCACTACCTACCCTGGAGTCTTCTTGTAATTCTTTTGTGCAAATTCATGCCCTCCCTTCTCCACTATTTCACTGCTTTAGGAAGCCTTCCCAGACAACTCCTCAATGCACTGATTTGTGACTGTCATGGACAGTTCCCCATCTAGTATGGGGCCTATAGTGGGTTTTGCCCATAAATAATTTCCCCTAATGACTCATTTATCTCAGATCATCAGGCTTAAGACATCACCTCATTTATCTGTTACCTGTTAAATGTTATTTCCTGTTATAAGTAACTCTGAAACAGTCAAACTAGTATTTCTCCACACACCCAACATTTGTCCAAAATGTACCATCAATCCACAGGTGGAAGAATTCATAAATAACAATAGGTTGTTTGTTTGAGCTTTGGGGGAAAGCCCCAAATGAGGATTAACTAAGCGTAGTCTACTCTGAGCCTTAAGCCTCCCACAATGGTCTGGAACTTAGAAAACAATTCTTAAAGGAAGAAAAGGAGGAGGGATGGACAGGAGACCACAAGGAGAGCAGGGAAGGGGCAGGGTGGGGAAGAAGTTCCCAGGGAAAGGCATTGCTCAGTAAGCCACAAGGAAGAGCGAGTGTCTGAACCAGTGTGGTATGTGTGTAGAAACATGTATCTCAGATTTCACTGGAAGACCAGAAATAAATAAGCTATATAAGTGGTTATTGCCTGTGTCCATTATATAAAGAATTAAAATTTGGTTATATTTTTAGAGAGTAAGATGGGAAGACTAACCGTATCAGACATTAAAACATATTCTAGTGCCCCAATAATTAGAACAGTGTGGTACTGGCACCTGAAAAGATAAAAGAGAGAAAGAAACAGAAGAGACCCAAATGTATATAGATATGAGGTAATAATGTTGTCACCTCCAATCAGTAAGGAATGGTATGGGGACAATCAGTAGCCATCTGGGGAAAATTAAGAGTTGGATTCACTCCTTGCACTATACACCAAGATAAAGTTCAAGTAGATCAAGTTTAAGTGTAAAAAAGGAAACTTTATCAATGTATCACTGGAAAATGTGGGAGAATTTGAAATCTCAATGTGAAAAGAAGACATTTCTAATTATGAGTCAAAACCCAGAAGCCAGAAAGGAGAATATTGACAAACTCAACAATGTGGATATGTGCATTGCAAAAATCCACAAGCAAGGTCAAATAGCAAACTAGTTTAAAATATTTGCAATTCCTATAACAGGCTAATCTCCCTATTAATATAGGAGTATCTAAAAACTGATGAGAAAAAGCCCAACAAGCCAGTGAAGAAGTAGACAGGGCATATTCATATATAATATGAATATTTTGTTATAAATTATTAATATATTAATATATTCATGTAATATAATTCATAAAGAAGTCAATACCAAGTGGCTCATACACATAGAAAACTATGTTCAATTTCTTGCGCAAGAGAAATACAAAATAAAAATACACTGAGATACCATTTCTCACACTACTGCACAAAATTCCAAGGCTGTGAGGAGTTAAGTATGCTTGCATACACTGCTGTTGGGATCAAGATTGGTACAACCCCTAAGAACAAATTGGCAATCTGTCAAAATGCATTCATTACCCTAATCCATGGTTAATTCCTGCATCACTAGATCAACTGGATTATTGACAAGAAAATATAATGTGTCTCCCGTTGAGGCACATGAAACACACACCCTAACTGTAAAATACTCTGGCAAAAAATGTGTGAATTGAATCCATTAAGTCTATAGCTATAACTTACAATTCACGGGAAATAGGGAGCCAGAGAAACAAGTAAATATAAACTATTTAAATCCAAAAAGTGGGACATTCTGTAAAATAACTGGCCCAGTCTTTTTAACAAAGAACTGCTTCTACCCCTCCACACACACACATATATCTAGAAAAGATACAGTAAGTATATACATATCATTTAAAAAGGAAGCTGGTAGGTGGAGAGGTAGGGGAATCTTGATGGTCAAGGAGACTTAAAGAACTTCATTCAACAACCTGATGCCAAGCCTGGTATTATCCAAAAAGCTCTCTTAGTAAGAGTTGGATACATTTTTAACAGTGTGACCCCCGCAGAAGAGAGGAATACATACCCATCCCCATTTTCAGCACAGAAAGACCCAGGAGAAGATGCTCTGCACGCTGCCTTACCGATTGATCTTTCTCTTCTGCTGGGATTTGATCACTGTGCTCTCTTCGTCTCTCTTCTTTAGCACCTGGAAGTTGTACTCTAACTTCTCTTGGTTTAGCTGATAAGTGGCTTTCATCTGCTGAAGCTGTTGCTCAAGAATCTAAAGTTTTAAAAAAATAACACTAATTGTCACTGATGAGTTTGTTATGCCTAAGGGTCCCTGACAGTTCATTCTGGAGTCAGGTTGGAGGAACCTGTAGGGACAAGAGCTTTCACCTCAATCATTAGAGGTCAATTAAAGGCCAACCAAAAAAACAGCTCAGGAAATCATTCAACTGCAAGCTAAAGCCTACATACTTAAAGCCTAAAAGAGATCACAGAGCTTTCAAACGCAGTCCCCCTGCTTCTCTGCCCCAGATCCTTTAGACAAAGCCCACTAGAAACACCATTAAAGTGAATACTGCCACAAGAAAACCTGCATGTCCTTACTCCGACCTTCCAATTCTCATGTTAGTGTTTAGCAAACAGTGTTCATTTTAGATGAGAAAAGACCCTACCTTACTCCATGGATTTTCACTAGCTGTATTCATTCATTCAGCAAACACTTGAGTGCTTAGTATACGTCAGATACTATTCTAGGTGCTGGGAAAATACTAGTAAAGAAGGCACAGTCCCACCCTGTCTCAGAGACAGAAAGATCAACAAGCGCTGGGGTTAAGGAGTAAGACAGGCGAGCCCTGAGAGCCAGGGCACATGTTCCTGAAGGACGGCATCAGCATGTCTAACTGAGACCTGGAAAGTGACCAGGAGTTACTCAGGTGGACACCTGAAGGGAGAAAGCTCTAGAGAGCCAAGAGAGAGTGAGGTACTTTGGGAGAACCATGAGCTGTTTCAGATGTGAAGTATGGGGGAGGGAATGGTCAGAAGTGAGGCCGACAGAGCGGCAGGGCCTTACCAAGCTAGGGCTGTAAAATTAGCCCTGGAGGCAAGGGAAGGCCACGAGGCAATAAGCTGGGGAGTGGAATGATTAGTCCAGGCAGTGTAGAAAGATCACTCTGACAACTGGTGAAAAACAGCTTAGAGAGGACAAGGCTGGAGGGAGGGCCAATACAGACAGGCTTGTTCCAGCTTTTCCTAAGTGGAAAAGTGGAAGTGCAGGAGCACAGGATGCAAGTTAAACATAATCAGACCTTGACAAGGCAGAGACACGACAGTGACATGCCACGTGGGACTCTTCTAAGCCTCCTTCCCATCTCCCTCCACTACTTCTAAGCCTCCTTCCCATCTCCCTCCACTACTGCATACCCTTGCAAGGGATCAACAGAGGAAATTACTCCAGGCAGCTACCACTACGTGCTTCTGGGTCATCTGCAAGGAGATAACTGGCTAGGAGGTGATGCTGAGGAGAATAAAGGTGTTAACACATCACCATAGACTGAGTCATTTCCATATTCCACGTGGAATCCAGTGATTACTGACACTGCACCCAAGGGTGTTAGTCAAGAGTATCTTATTGAACAGTCCCAGAGATTTTTAAATCTCCATTGTGGGACGAGTATTTGGATGTGTCCTGCAGAACAGAAGCCTGCAATACCTATTCTTTAACAGGTGGTCAGTGGAGAACCATCTGGGTCACTGGGGTGGCAGCTAATTGTACCTTTCAATTTCTGTACTTGCTGAGTCAAATTTTTATTTAGTTTTTCTAGTTATATGCTTTTATGTATAAATTTTCCTAGTCATGAAATAATATTTAGTCATTGTAGAAAATGAGGAAGTAGAGTAAAGGAAAAAGGAGAAAATATAGAAGAACGGGGAAGAAAAACTACCATAATTCTACCTCAAAAAGGCAATTTCTGTTAACATATTGACATGTTTCCTTCAAGTGTTCTTCACAAAGTTGAACTCAAACTGTAGCTACAACTTTTATTCTACTTTTCTCCCTTAATACTATAGCAACAGTTTTCTATGTTAGTAGTTTAACATAATTTTAATGGTGCCTAATATTTGTACATGTTATAATAATTTATCATGTATGAAATATTTATATTTATTGTAATATTTTACCATTTCCCTACAATTGTATATTTATATTGTTTTAATAATTTTCAATATTACAAAATAATGCTGGGAACAATTTTATACAAACCTTTTGGGTATTCTGTTTACTTTCTTAAGGTAGATTCTCAGAAATAGAATTACTAGGTCGAAGGTTCTCAATGAATTGCACTCCAAAGAGCAATTTACAGTTTCCACCCCCACTGGCCTCATGTGCAAATGTCCACTTACCCATCCACACCCTGCTGGCATGGAGCAGGCCAAGGCAGGGCAGGCCACAAACTCTAAGTGCAGGTCTGGTCCTTGGATAGGGCACTTGGGGCAGGACAGGAGCTGCATTCTTCCTGAGCATGATTAAATTTAATTTCAAATTTTCAGACTTGAACCACATCCCAAAGGGCCTATGGGAGATGCTGAAAGTACAGCCTCATTTCAAGTGCAGTTATCCAGGTGGTCCTGGCTGAATCACCCTCTGCCCTGTACCGTTTTAGGGAAAGCCCAAAGTGTCTACTAGGGAAAAGGGCTCTTGGCAGCTCTTCCTGCAAGTTGCAATCTACAGCCAACCTTCAAATGAAACCAGTCCTGCTGCTTCGAATGTGACCAGCCCTGCACAGAAGGGAGGCCACTGGCCTATGAGGTAGCTCGGCACAAGGTCCAACAGAAAAGTTTCGTGTTGGATGGTGACCATCAGAGTTACAAATGCACACCCACAGAGGAGGGTCTCCACAGCTGCTCCGGGTTTGGAATGACAGTGAGTGGCTGTTCCAGTATTCCCTGGGACGGACTTATGGGGGAGCCCTGAGACCCACAGTGCCTGGGTGTCTGCTCTGATGATGTCCTTTTTCTTCTCATAGCTTTGCAACAAGCCCCTATCACTAAGTCGGCATTTCCTAGATTTATTTGGCCATAGAACAGTTTTCATATTGATAATACAATGAGAGCCTGTGAGTTATAAATTCAAGCTCAATCACATGAATGTTCATGGGAGTTTCATTCTTATAGGCAAATTATTACATAATAAAAACAACTGTATAATGAACTCCATATTTTTCATACATAATACTTCTCGAAAGGAAAAAAAAAGCATTGGCTCACCTTTTCTTTGTTAGTTCTGTGAAACCTAAACACAATTTACAAAACTCTGAACTGAAGTAAATAAGTCATGTCTTTTTTGTGTGTGACCTGAAAAAACATACATCTGTGCTGATTTTATATACAAAACCAACCAACCAACCCTGTCACCTGATTGTCTTCATTTACGTTTGTTTGCTTGGGCTCACCCTTAATATTTATTAGCCAATTTTATTTCGTCTTGTGGAAAACTTTTGCCCCTGTTTTTTGCTAGAATATTCTTAGGGGACCGACACCTGGGCTCCATACGGGAACCATAGACTAGCAATTTCACATCCAACCTACATAACACTCCTGCTCACTCTTCTTTCTGTCACTCACTCTCTTATATTATTTATGTAGCTTTTCCTTCCTTCATTTCTTTCCTTGCTTTCCTTCTTATTCAAAAGGTTCTAAGTTCCTGGCAGGCAAATGTTCTGCCTTGTTTATCTTTGTGCTTTGCACAATAAGTTCACAATATTTGTTAAATAAATAACTTGCATTTAATTTTTTGTGATTAATATTCTGGTATTAAAGTTAACAGCCCCTAAATTTGAATCAAGCCATTTTACAATTTTAAATAAGCATGTAGGGCCTAAAATAAAAACACTTGCTTCCTGCATCAAGAACTAAGTGTTTCTAGTAGTTTATTTTGGGGTGGTGGGTGGGCATGGTAAAATCCCTCTGGAGTTCATAATGTTTATAGCTTCTCTTTGCTCATTAATAATGTGGCCTTACTAGCAGTAAGCATTTGAAAAATAAACATTCTCTTTTTTTACTTCTTATGCTTTACCCATCAAACGCGAAATCTGTTGTATTGGATACTTTGTACTTTTGTGTTTTGCAAAAATTTTAGTCCCCATTTTAGAACTGATACAGTGCTATGAGTTAGTTAGGAAGAGCAAATTTGATGTGAGCTGCATGCTGCCTCTTTTTCACAAAAAATGATGCTATTTGACTTTAATGTCTAGTGAAAGTACACCTTAGAGGCACTATGATAAAGTTCAACCTATTAAAATATTTCACATATTGCAGTATGGGTAATCCCTGAATTGATTATCTGTTCCTAGTTCAAGGATAGTGTAGTACCACATACTCTTGGTTTCCATTCTAACACAGGAAAGAACTGTTATGCAGAGCGACTGCACACAGTTACCCCCTGGGTATCTCCATCCACCTGCCTCCCACATACCTGCTCTCCCCCACCAGACCATCCACACAGGGTGAGCCAGGAAAGCAGGTCTCCTAGGCTCTCTACCTCTGTCCCTCACCTCCCTAGTTCTACCTCACTCCTTACTCCCCCTTAATCTCCCCATGTCCCAGAATTTTTTTGCTTTGTTCAAGCATTTGAAGACTTGTAGAAGATGAGGTTCCGCGCCTGCAACTCAACAGCAAAAAAATAAACTATCTACTAAAAAATGGGCAGAGGACCTGAACAGACCTTTCTCCAAAGACCTACAGATAGCCAAAGCACATGGAAAGGTGCGCAACATCACTAATTATCAGGGAAATGCAAACCCAAACCACAGGGCTGTGGTGCTGCTTTCCCACAGCCTGCTACTGCTCCTAATTCTCATTTCCATGACATTAATATGAGAAAGGTCCAGGAAAATTCTCTAGATTGGTAAAAATACTATAGTCCAATGGGATTTTTCATTTAACCTTGTTATATAAAGGTGTGGTCTACCTCACACCTGTTAGGATGGTTACTGTCAAAAACCAAAGGACACAAGCGTTAGTGAGGAAGTGGAGGAAAGAGAGCCCTTGTACACTATTGGTGGGTATGTAAATTTGTGCAGCTACTATGGAAACAATACGGAGGTTCCTCAAAAAACTGAAAATAGAATTCCCATTTGATTCAGTAATCTCACTTCTGGGTGTATATCCAAATGTATTAAAATCTGGGTCTTAAAGAAGTACCTGTCCAGCCACACTCATTGCAGCAGTATTCACAATAGCCATGCTACAGAAACAACACAAATGTCCAGTGATGGTCTAAAGGATAAAGAAAATGTGGTCCAGGCATACAATGAAATATTAAAAAGAAGAGGAAATTCTGCCATTTGCAACAACAAAGATGGACCTGGAGGACATTATGCAAAGTCAAATAAGCCAGACACAGAAGGACAAATACTGCCTGATCTCACTTACATGTGGGACCTAAAATAGTCAACCTCATGGAAGCAGAGGGCAGCATTTGCTACCAGGAGCTGCCAGGGGCTTGTGGGCGGGGAGAGAGAGGTGTTGGTCAAAGGGTACAAAGTTTCAGTTGTATAGGATGAATAAGTTCTGGAGATCGACTGTACAACAGAGGGCCTACGATTAACAATGCTATATTATATACTTAAAAATCTGCTAAGAGGGTGGATCTTACAGTAAGTGCTCTTATCACAAAAGGAAAAACAAAAATCAAAACAACAAATAAAGGAATATGACTATTTTCCTGTTTGCAGCCAACAGTGGTTAGCCATGTCATGTAAGTTATCACAGAACCAAGACACCTTAAGCAAGCCTAACAATAGCCATTGTCATTAAAGCATAATGTCTACTGCCCACACGAGTGGGGCTGCTCTCCCGCAGACTGTGGCTGTTCTTTGCCAGTAATTCTCATTTCCGTGGTGTTAATATGAGAAAGGCCAAGGAAAACTCTCCAGATTGGTAAAAATATTGTAGTCCAATGGGGTTTTTCATTTAACCTTGTTATATAAAGCTATAAGAAGATTAAGAACTGAAATCCTACCAAGGGCTTTGTGGAAAGTTTCAATCTAACATGTTTTCCTAGGTAGAGACTGAAATGAATAGACCAGGTTTGAATATTAAGATGCAATTACATTACACCTAAATGTAAGTAGAGATGAATTTTTTTAAGTGATGTTGAAATACAGAATTCTAGACTTGGAATAGTACTTTAGAAAGTGGAAAATCTAACCTCCTTCCCACTGCAAGAATCCTTCTTCATCACTGCAGACAGACAGTCTGTCTTTGAATACTTTGAGGTAAGGGACTCCTTGTTTTGTAGAATGGCCTTTTCGGTATTGGATAGTTCTATCAGAAGGTTCTTTCTGCTAGTGAGTCAGAATCTTCTTAGTGCAATATCCAACCATCAGTTTGGAATAAAAGAATATAGGCTACTGAGCCAGAAAGTACTGGGTTTGAATCCAGGGCTTACCATGTATGTATTAGATAAACAGCCTTGTCTCTGAGCCTCAGTTTCTAGCATGTTATTAAAATGCTGTTAGTGATTCTCCCTTCAGTGTTCATGTGAGGACTAGAGATACCATATGTGAAGCACCTGGAATATGACAGATACTCATTAGATGGAGGCTGTCCCAGAACTGGCCCTCTGATACAGCTAACTTGCCCTTGGGCTATTTTCCCTTTGCTCAGCTAAAATGCACAATTTTCTCGATGTTTCCTCACATGTCATGGCTTCCAGACCCCTCCTGGCCTCTTGGCAGTTCTCCTCTGGTTATTAAAGAAAGCATGCTTCCACATGTATCTTGTACATGAGCTCCTTCAGACGTGATCATTTAAAAGAAATCAAATAATTAATCAATACTTGTTGGATGGACTAAGTCTAGACCATTATGGGCAGTCACGGAGGCGGGAACTCTCACAGGAGCCCTCCGCTGGCTCTGCCGCCCAGGCACCCCCCTGGGGAACAGATCACACCTGAACATCCTGCTCCAGCTTGACTTTGACTGTGTTGTACTCTTCACAGTCCCGTATCCTCTGCCTGTCGAGCTGCTTCCCATAGTCCTCTATTTTCTCGATGCGGTTCATGAGACACTCTAGCTAAAGGCACAGGAAGACAAAGGGAAACGGGTCCTGTCCCTGCCCCAACCCAACCCTCCAGATGGCCTGCTAAGTGGGCCACAGGGGAGGAACTCAGAGTGCCATGGCTCTGCAGGGAGTTTGTTGGGCCTCAGAGGGCCCTGTGCCCCAAGGCTTTGTATTGCTCAACAGGGTCCTTGCTCCAAAAGGAATCCTCCATAAGGAAACTGAGCACAGACCCTGCGGTCAGACATTTGTGCTTCCCAAGAAAACCTGCTGGGTCTCAGTCAAGTTATTTCTTTGCTCTTTATGTCTCTGAAATAAAGCAATGACCCCATGCCCTTTAAAGAAGTGTCTTCAAATATCTTCTTGGGCCACAAATATTCATGGCTAGGGCAGATGCCCAGGAAACAAAGGAGAGAGTCACAGGACCACAGAAATCAGAGCGAGATGCAAAGGTGGTGCCCACACCACCATCTGCAATGCCATACTGACTGACCATGGCATGATGTAATGAATGTCCATCATGGCAACCCTCCCCAAGATACATAAAGCCCAGCAAATTCAGTCACAGCAGAAATCACCCCAGACTCCATGGACCACCCTTGACTCACCCCCACCCCTTCCTCCCCTGCCACCCCTTTACCTCCTTGGCATTGTGAGCCTCCAGTGCCCGCTCCCACTTCTTCTTATTACCAGCCAGCAGCTCTTGTCGTTCCACCTCAAATGCTTTCTACAACCAAGGAAAAGGGCTCTTGTGTCTGTTTTGATTAGACAGGCCCCACAGTATCAAAGAGGCCTTAGATAACAGCTCAAGTGCCAAGTCACCAACCACAGAGACAAAGTCAAATCCAAATGCAAATCTGCCATATTTCATGCAAACAAATGACTCTGGAAGGAGTTGCATAGAAATTAGGTGATATGAAGCCTGTACTTCATTTAAATTTAGAGAGGAACTAAGCCAACTGTCCTGTGGCTTAGTCAATATCAGAGGCAAGAAGCTGGAGGAAGGCCAGTGTCCTTATTGGCAGTCACAGGAAGAACTGTGACACATAATTCAACCATGACTAGGGCTGGTATATTGCTATGGTTGGGGTCCCTGTGCAGCCAAGGCAGCATGGAGCTCACGAGGGGTAGGCCTGGGATGCAGAAATGAGTCTACAACAATCCAAAGAGAAAGGTCTCTTCCATTTTGGAAAGACCTTTTTCTCAATCTTAATCTTTAGCATTTCGTTTTAATTTAAAATATCAATTCCTGAAACCTGTCTGGCACTCCTCTTTCCCATCCCCCATCCCTGACTGCATTAAATAAATCAAACAAATGATGGTTATGGAGCACTCCCTCCTCCACTCCTCTCAGCCTTACCCAGTTCTATTTTCTTTCAAAGCACTGACCACCATCTGTCAAATTATGTATAAAATAATGTATCTGTTCATTGTCTAGCTGTCTCCTACTAGAATATAAGCCCCATCGAGGACTCTGTTTTGTTCATGGCTATACCCCCAGCTCCTGGTACAGTGCCTGGCATATAGTGGGCACTTGACAAACATTTCTTGAATGAGTGAATGAATAAACAAGTTAATGAACCCCTAGAGCACAGAAATCAGAGGACAGAGCCTTCTGGGACCCTCCTTAGACAGGGAGGACAGGCAGACCCAGACCCCTCCCAGAGGCCTCCCGATGGCAGAGTGCAGTTGACACCGTTACCTCAATATGGTGGAGCTCCTGACGGAAGGTTTTCATCAAGCTCTTTACTTGTTCTTCCATCCTCTCCAGGAGCAGGCAGATGTCGTCTGACTGTTTCTTCAGATCCTTTACATACTGGTCATCCTTTGTTTTTAACTCCTAGAAAAGAGCATGGCAAAGGTTGGTCCCGGAAGCAAGAGGGCAAGCACCTCCCCTGGGACCCCTCTCATCAGCGCCTGGGCACACTAGGAATTCCACGTGTGCAAAGTGAAAGTGGCTTCAGCAGAGACTGAGGAGGCCTGGGAGAGAGCGCGGGCAGATGGAGTGGGGTGGGCTCGGCTCGGGAGCAAAGCCTGAAGAGCAGCTCAGGATCAAACTCTCCGTTAGTACTTGCTGCACATCTCCCTGCAAGGTCCCAGAAGGCCTGGGGGGCGGGGAGGCCAGGGTTGGGGCCCCAGCTGAGCAATTAATGTTCAGATTCCATCATGGGAACATACCTAATGCAGACTAAGTTCCATTCCTTAATTAAAACAAAATCTAAAATAGCATATGTTATGAAAATACATCTTTTAAGACAGCCAATAATCCAAAATCACGACAAAGCCTTTTCTTCTCATTAAAAGGTTATAGTCTGATTTGTGCAGCATTCTGAGTAATGATGCCAGGCCTCCACATTTTTTCACTAAGGAAAAGTACATCAGTAACCAGATTACACTCCAGCCGCGTATCGCATGGCCGGCCTGGCCGCCCACTCTTACCTGCTGCAACTCGCTGATGAGCTTGTTCTTATCTTCTATTAGCCCTGCGCAGTGCACCTGCTGGGCACTGAGCATGTCCCACAGGTCCTGGGGAATTCTCTTCTGTTTGCCCTCCACCCACTTCATGGTGATCTCATCAAATTTGTCCTGACTGCTCTTGACTTCGTTCTCCAGCTTTTCAAGTCTGCAAATACAAACAGGCTGGCCATGCCTGCCCAGGGCTGGGCACTGCCTCCCGCTAGAACATGCCAGCTCACAGGTGTGTCAGTAATGCAAGGACTGGGCACCAAGCACTGCCTCCACGAGTGTCCACGCAAAAGCAAACCAGGCTCTGAGAAATCTTTTATTTAATGCTTAGCTAAAGCAACTGAGACCAAAAACAGACCAGCATTAAAGCTATACATACATACATTTATACACACACACACACACACACACACACACACACACATATGGATCAGAGTCAGTGTGTCACATACTTCTGAGTAAGATGGTGACATACAGTAGTTAAACACTTGGTCACTGGAGTCACATAGTTTGTGTCCAATCCTGACTTTGCAACTAACTGCCTCTCAACTTCAGGTAAGTTGCTTAACCTAAGCAAGCCCCATTTTTCCCATCTGTAAAATGGAGAGGATAAGATATACAGCTGCTGTCAGGATTAAATAAGATGATACTCAGCACAGCAGTCACTGAACAAAGGGAACTTGTATTCTTATTTTTTATTATCAACATGACCTCAAGTGTCTGGCCATTCCTCCCAAGTTAACAATAAATGACCAGAGGAATGTACAAATAAGGAAACCCAACCATTAGCAAAGGAAAATAGAGATGGCCTTTCCAAAAATTCCAAAGAAACTCTGGGGTGGAGTGTACTGAGGACGGGACCAGACTGAAGGAAGGCCCTGGGCTGAGACATGAGGCCCCTTCAGGGAGCCGCAGCCAGGACATATGCCAGAGACTCTCGCGACCCCAATAGACTGTAATTCTATGAGGCTGCTCCGAAACAAGAGAGCAACCCCCTGCAAGAACAGGAACCCCTACTCTACCATCTGGCCATCCCCTGCCTCCTTTCCTCCTTTCAATCAAGGGCACAGAGTACATACTAGAATTCAATTGACTTTTTTCTTTAAAAAATGAAAAATAGCTATCAGATCATTTTTCCAAAAACCCACATTTATCTTGTAACTCTGCCACTTAAGACCTTCAGTTTTCCCTCAATGGCTACAGGACAAAGCTAACTCCTGGGCCGGCACCCAGGGTCTTCCACCTGCTAGGGATCTGTTCAGTTCCTGGTACAGTCCATGACAAGCAGTGGGAAGTTGCAAGAATAAAGTCACCAATTACATATTGATAAAATGTGTAAAGTAGCTAATGGGGAAGCTACTTATGCTGAACAACTAAAAAATTTGTTGTTGAAATTGTGCTGTGTATGTACACACTGAGATGAGCTGAAATGGTCAAGTGGGTCACACTTCTAACTGAACTGTATTTAAGAAATTAATTGAAGAACAAGCCAATGGAAGAGTTTAAATGAGGACCTCTGTTCCTACTGGTATCAGTCCACTTCTGTGCCCAAACCAAAGAAGTTGAATCTTTCCAAGCAGCTTACGCCTGCCTCCTTGTTGGGCAGCCTGAGACCTGGGAAGATGGGTGTGTGTGACTGCCTGCCTGCTGAGGACTGGAGCTGAGGCTCGCCATTGGTTCCCATTATCCCTCCGACCCTCTTTCCTTCTAGTCACAGAGTCTATGCTATTCTTTAATATGCTACTATTTGTATATAACACTGAGATGTTTATGGGTTGGTTATTCTGATTAATTTAAACCCAGAATAGCCCAATCTACCTTCTTAGCCTCATCTCCCAAGCATATCATGTAATCTCACACCTTTGCACAAGCTATTCCCTCTGCCTAAAATGCCCACTGCTTGAATCCTCAAACTCCTACTCATCCCTTAGGGCCCACCTCAAATACCACTTTGCCCGGAAAGCTTAATTCTCCAGAAAGAATTAAAGGCCTCCTCATATGTGTTTCCATAACTCTTTATACATACATTTATTTTAACACAAATCATGGTTTGGTGTTTCCCTGTCTATCTCAACTAGACCATGAGCATCAAGAGCAGAGGCCATGTTCACTCCTCTTTGCATCACTTCTTGGTACTTACCAGGGATATAATACTACTTCAGGAAGGAACCGGGAAGGGAGGGAAGCAGGGAGGGAAGGAAAGAAGGAGAGAGGGAGGGAGGATTCATAAGGGGCAAGAAGAGGATTCTACTGCACTATTTTACATAGCCACTTTCTAATGACTGGGGAGAATTTTGGGGACCCACAGAGCAGATACCCACACATCCCCCAGGCTGCAAAGCAAGGGGCTCCTCACCTCTGTCGCTTTATCTCCTCTTCTTCGACTCTCCTGTGGATCTCTCTGATATCTGCAGCAACCTGGATATTTGTCACCAACTCAGTGCCACAGCGCAGCAGTTTAGCCAATTTCTGAAAATAAACAAGAATTTATAAAGTTAGAAACATTTGCACAACCATCTGTAGCTGCTTCATCCAGCCAGGCAGGAACCAAAAGCCACCTTAAGACTTTGAAGAGTCACATCTATACGCAACCCATTTCTACCAGGACCAAGATGAAATAGGAAATAAAAGAATTACTATTAAAAAAAGATAACTAATATGGTTCAGGCTAATTATGATGGAGTCCAAGATATATATAATGGCAGTGGGAGATGCAAAATGATGGGTATAGAAAAAAATAGTGATATTGATGAAATGTTGAATATGAAAAATAAGAGATTTGGAAAAATCTAGGATGATTCCCTCCTCTCTTCTGCAACTACATTCAAACTTGGGCTTTTAGAATCCAAAGCCATTCTTCTGTTGATCTTCCTGCTACGCTATTTATGATTAATATATCTAATCCATGTTGCAAAAAAAAAAGATTACTAAGGTACAGGCCAAGGGCAGGGGCCCTCATGTCCTGGGCTTAGGGCAGTGCTAATTATTAATACCTTGATATTGAGGGAAGTAGCACTGGTTTTTATACATTTCTCTTTGAGCCAACGTTCTTCATGACTTAAGTCCCAAGTGAAAGGAAACTTGAAAAGCTGCTACTGAAAACAATATTGTCTCTCTGGTTTTCTCAAATAAAGAGTACTCAAATGAACAGTAAACCAATGTTTGGAAGATTATATATAATATCCTTTTCATCTTGCACAGAAATGCTCAGAGATCACTGATCCTTCAGATGAAATAACCTAAGTACAAAGAGGTGATGTGACTCCTCTACTTCCCAGTAAGCAACAGATTTGGAGCGAAAACCCACAGCAGTTCAATTCTTTCCATGCAGTAAAATATCTTCTCCTTGACATAATACAGTACAGGTTATTCAATTCTCTCTATATATCTCTATGCTCTATAATAGTAATATTTCAGTAACTTAAATAATTGTTCTCCCAGGAAGGATACCTCAGTTTTGGCCAGAAGTGGTCTCTCTCCTCTCCACTTTTTTAAATCCCACCTGTTTTTCTAAGACCTAGTTCAAATCCCACTTTCTCCATATAACCTCCCTCATCAGGCTAGCTTGGTGAGCTCTCTTCCGTATCTCACAGTATCACTGTCTGTGCAGTTCACTTAGCAATTAAATTAAACACAGCACTTTGCCAGTTCCGGCTTGCTGTTTCACATTGCTGTTTATTCCTCCCGCACCTCTTGTTCCAAGTACTTTATTAAATATCCCAGGAGCCCTGTCATTGCCATGAGAGCGTGGTCAGTGATTTAGTATTTATTGAGCACAAGTTATGTACTAATCCACAGGTGTTCAAAGAGGTGCTCACTCTCACAGAGCTTACAGTCCCATTGGCGACCCTGCAGGCACACACATTTGAAAAGTCATCCTAAAATGAAATGAATTGTACAGACAAGTACTACTCAATGTATGAAGTAAAGGAGTTCAGTCTGGGCTAAGGAGGAGTTCAGAAGGAGTAGGGACTTGAGATGGTCTGAAAGTATCGGAAGGTAACCTAATGAGAGGAGAGAGAAGACCAAAAGGCCGAGGAGAGGAGGGGAGCCAAGGGGAGAGGAAGACTTGGCATTCCAGATGATCCGAGGCCCCAAACAGAAAGCACATAGGTGCCTTGGGGTGAGTGACTGGGTCAGCCCAGCCAAAGTGGAAGGCCCAAATTGGGTTAACAATGGGAGGGAAGACTGGAAAGTTAGCATGGGAACAGACTACAAAAGACTTTGAATGTCAGGCTGACACATCTGGACTGTATCCTATCAATAATCCATAGAGTAGTATGAAAGCTCATTCCTAGAAAGTTCCTAAAATGAAAAAGATTCAAATTCAGATCTGCCTAGAGACAGGAATATGGAATCTTGAGATTCTTCTAGTCCAGGTACAGAAACCATGAAATCATATGCTGTTTCCAGGATCCCAGGGCCGACAGGACCCTTTGCTCCTAGGTCATACCAGTCTGCTTTCTTCCTTCTGTTTGCAGCTCTTGCTCTGATCTTCCTCACTCTCCTTTTTCCCATCTAAATATTCTCCAAGTGCTTCCCTGTAATGGAAAAAAAGAGACACTGAAGTTCTTTCTGGTACTTAGATCCTATATTTAAAGTTTCCATAGTACAACATACCATATAAACAAATATATATTCCATATGAATAAAAATACAAATATTTAAAAAAAACACAACCATAAAGATACTAGAAGTAAATACAGGACAGAAAACATCTTAGAATAAAACTGAAGTTAAAAAAAAAGATTGAAAGATTTTAGTTCCAAAAATTTTTAAGTTTTATCCTTAAAAGTCAAAGGATAAACTGGTAAAAGATATTTGACAAAATTTTGCCATCTATAAAATAGAATGGGCTCCTTCAAATCAATACAAAAAAGGACAAAATACCAATTAGAAAAATTGGCAAAGGATGTGAACAGGCACTTTACAGTAGAATACAAATGGCAAGTAGACATTTGAAATATGTTCAACTTCACATACAACCAAGAAAATGACACTGAGAACCCTGTCAGGTATTAATTACTCTCCTATAAGATAAGAAAAGGTTGATAATATTAAAAGGTTGATAATATCAGGTGTGGCCAAGAGTGTGGGTGCCCCACTATTCATACTCCATGGGCGGGAATGTGATGTGTAACAACTAGTTTAAAAGAGAATTTGGCAACATTTATCAAAAATTTAAATATGCCTCCCCTTCCCTTAGGAATTTTCTACAGGAAGCTTTCACAAGTACTCAAAGTAGGCACAAGAATGACTATCAGAGCACTGATGATATTAGCAGGAACATGGAAGCACTCTATACACATATTAATAGCTGCCTATTTAAGTAATTGATGTAGAGGCAACAATACAAGAAAATATTTTGTGGCCTATAAAAAAAGCGATATAATATCTAGCAGCACAGAAAGATGTCCACGATATTTAGGTAAAAAGAACTAGTTGTAGAATATGGAAAACATAGTACCAGTTTCTATTTCAGTATTCTTGAGTCAGCTAAGTCATTTACCATCTGTCTTAATGCTTCCCAGCTTCCAAAATTTTGCTGTTGAGTCCTCCTGTTTTGCATGACATTGTGGGTTTATGTCTTTTTCACTTAATCCCTTTAAATGCCATTTTAATGGAGTTTTGATAGAGTTCCAAGATTATGTGTTCCACCCGCCATCTTTACTCAGAAGTGACATCTCCCAAGATTTTGAAACTTTAATTGAAACCCTAGAGATTGGGAGTTTCAGGGGCTATTAGCCCATTAATCCTGTTCTTTATCTTTATACAACATTTGATGCTGTTAACAGCTTCCTCCCTAAAAGTACACCTCATGGCATTCCGAGCAAGGCCCAAGCAGTCAGGGCAGCGGGCACCCCAGCCAATCAAGGAGTCTATGGACAATTTAAAAGCAATACCACTGACTAAAAGTCAGCCTGCTTTTTATATCAATGTGTACCAGCAACAAAACTATGTCAGTGATAAAACACTCCTTTCTGAAAAATGTTTGGTTAATCTAAGTTCTAAACAATTGTTACAGACACTGTCGATTTTTAATAATAGATCTATAAGCTTCAATATAGCACCTTTCCATTTCTTAGCCCTTAATTAACAAGTTAATTCAGAGAACAAGCAATTATATAATTGGCCTTTGACACACACAGACTCAGCTACATGCATATCTTCTGAGAGCACCTTTGAAATGCTTCATAACTGTCCCAGCCCACTTAGGGGCATTGCACACCCCCACCCCTGAGCTCCTACATACCCCTGCAGTGTAAACAACAGCCCAGTTATTGAAAAGACAAAGAAATTGAACTTGAGTTACTTCAATTCTGTCATTCTACAGGCAACTCATTTCCCAAACCTTTCGGAATTCTTTTCAAAGATTTCTTGAGATGTTTTTTCTTCCTTTTTTTCTCACCCACTACTTTTTTGTTTTGAATTGTAAATTTTATTTTTATTTTTTAAAAATGTTACTGGCATGGTTATATAAATAAAGCTCAATAAAAGAAAATGTTCACTGTCTGCTTTTCTTTTCAGGGTGTTCTTATTATCTGTGTTTTAAAAATAACCTGCTCCAGGTGTTAAATTCACTAGCTACACTTCTGCACCTCACTGATTCATTTTCCACCAGTGTGCACTGGCCACTTGCTCTCTTGTCTTCATATGACAGCAGTAACCCTTTGTCAGCATTTCCTCTTCTATCAACTTCTAAATGCTGGGTTTTCTTATGTCTTGTTCAGGAGCTCTGTTCTCCCTCTTTTTATCCTCTTTCCCAGTGTAATTTTATTCATGCCCATGGTTTTAAATATAATCATAATGCTGCTGACTCTGCACTGATATCTCTAATCCAGAATTCTCTTCTGAGTTTAAGACCCATATACCTAATAGACATCTCAATTTTAATGTCTCACAAAATCCAACTTTGCTTAATATGTTCAACATCAAACTCTTGATTTCCAATTCCTGCCTCACTACCCCATCGCTATTTTTACCATCTCCATAAAAGTCATTACCATCTACACAGCTGTGCTGTTCAAACCATTCTTGCTTTTCCCCTGTCTTTTTACCCTCATATCCAATCTATCAGTAAACCCAGTCAATTTCAACTCCAAAACATGTCTGAAGTACATCTGCTTTTCTTCCAAGCCCACTGCCATTAACTAGTCCAGACCAACTTCAGTGCAACTGTTTCCTAACTGGTCACCTTACTTGCACTTCTAGCTCCTCCAAACCATTCCCCCAAAGACAACCACGTCATCTTAACATACTTAAAAATTTGAGAAACTCCCACATTGGGTCCTTGGCCTGTGGGTCAGAGTTAATCATGATAGGGAAGGCCAAATGGATATCTCAGAAACCGTACCCAAGTACATTAAAAAATAAAAAATAAAAAAATAGTATCACAGACAGAGAATGGTGGGGATTGGTGTCACCCTTGAGGATCTTTAGGATGCAGAAGTTGCGGTACCTATCAAATCTCCATTTAGTTCAGAGGTCTGGTCCCTGCAAAAACTAGATGGATCTGACCAAATGATTGTCAATTACTGCAAGCTCAACCAAGCAGCAATCCTGATTGTAGTGGCCATGCAAGTGTGACATTTTCCCAGAGCAGATTACTGTGGCCTTAGGTACATGGAATGTGGCCACCGATTTGGCCAAATACAGTATTTTCTACCTTAATCAGGAATAAGGATCAGGAAGTTCTCATTTACATGCAACAGATAATATGTACTAACATAGCCCTCATGGGAGGCTCACAGGGCCATGTTAATTCTCCTGATATCTGTCAAAATATAATCTGAGGACCATCTGGATATCCCACAGAACATCCCACTGACCCAGTGCATCAGGGGTGGCAAACTATGGCCTGTGGGTTTTTGTATGGACCACAACCAAAAAATGATTTTCAAATGGTTTAAAAAAAGAAAAATCAGGATAAATAGGCAGAGCATAGAGCATTTTTAGGGGAGTAAAACTATTCTGTGATATAATGGTGGATATATGCCATTATACACTTATCAAAATCCACAGAACACCAAGAGTGGATAATAATGTAAACTATGGACTTTGGGTGATAATGATAGGTCAGCGCAAGTTTACCAATTATAACAAACATACCACTCTGGTGGGGTTGTTATACATGTGGGGAGGGCAGGAGGCATAGCGGCATCTCCATACTTTCCACTCAATTTTGCTGTAAACCAAAAACTATCACAAAAAAATGACCATTTAGAAAAAAAATCAAAATATGAAGAATATTTTGTGACACATGAACATTAAATGAAATTCAATTTTCAGTGTCCACAAGTAAACTTTTGATGGAACAGTCATGCTACTTTGGCCCCCTCATGTCCAGTGGCCAGCAGACAAGTTGACATCTTGGAAGGACCTTGCCCAGCAGGAAAAGGTGTTAGCACTGTTACACACTGTGAGGGCCTTCAGGAATTCAGGGGATCACGCAGGTGTCCCTTGGTACCCCTTTATGACAGCCCAGTGTGTCTGTGAATGGACAGGTACTGCAGCCATAGCCCTTCTGAAATGAGAGCTTGTGTCATCACACAACCAGGAAAGTCACTAAGCCAGAACTGGTAGCTGAGGTCCACTGGATAATCACTTGTGGAAGGAAGGCAGGCTGGAAGGGAAGGAGGAAAAAAAGACCCGGGAGGGTTGGTCAAGGATCGCCTGAATCTTCAGTGTATTGCCCACCGTACCCGGCGCAGTGGGCTCACAATCCATTTCCGTCTGTGATTTTACTTGTTTGTTGACTGTTTGAGTATCCCTTAGTTTATTTGCACCTTTTGGAAGAAATACTGTCTCAAAAGACAAGCCCTGGCCCAACTCGCCGCAGGTGCCACGCCCCCGGGAAGCCGCCCCTGCATTCCCGCCCTGCATCATGGACACTGCGGCGCTCCGCGGGGACCCACCCAGGCCCGCTCACCGCCGCCGGGCTTCCAGGCGCGCCGCGATGCGGAGGCGCCGCGCCTGGATCCGCTCCTGAGGGTTATTAGAATGTAACGAGGGCCCTGGAATAGGGGTGGGTAAGTGCTCCTCCTTCTCCTCCAGGACTTCCCGGGATTCCGGCGGATTCATGACGGGTGCCCCGGGCAGCTCCGTCTGACCACTGCCGGACCACCGCCCGGTTACCAGCAACAAGCCGTTGCCACAGAAGAGTCGTCACCGGATGCGCAGGTGGAGTGAGTGCGCGCGCAGCTCCCCAGGCCCCGCCCACCGGTGCTCGGAAAGGTGTTCCGCATCTGGAACGTTGTTCCCCCCTCCGTTGCGGTGTGAGTACTGTCTTGAGCTCGCCTGAGTCTTATTATCGGAGACTGGACCACTCGAGAGCTGGGCCAAATTGTGGTTCATCACTTCCTGATCCTGATGATTAGTTCATCAAACAAATATTCCTCAAAATCACATTCATTAAACATTAATTGAGTACCTTCTCTCTCTGCCAAGTGCTGTGCTAGTTCTAAGGATACAGGCGTTCTCTGCTCGTAGAGGGTGTAGGAATAGGCCCAACCCTGAGCCTACTGCCTCTTTGGAAAAAATATACCAACGTATATTTCATCCATCTATTCGTCATCCTTACATTTTGAAGCCCCCACTTTGTGCCTTGGGTCCCTACCTCCTGTAAGAAGGTGAAACCACCCTGCTACCAGTACATTTGTATCCAGCAAGGGATTGTTATTTTCTGCAGCCTTTTCTGTAGGGCCAAACCTGAGACAATCCCACCATCACCACCTGCAATCACATACTTGCAGAAAGAGGAAAGGAGTAGAGGAAAAACACTATGGGGGAGGGAGAAGAGGAGTGGAAGTTACAGGCACAGAAGCACAGTTAAACTCAAAGACACCCTGTCTCTTGAAAAGGCAGTATTTCCCAGGTGTTGTATCTCATTGCCAACAATAGTTTCTTATGATGGTTCAATCCCTTTCAAAAACACAAGGGATTATATTTGACAGTCTTGTCCCACTGGTCTGTGGGGAACTCTAGAAAGGGCACTGGAGGAGTAAGAAAATGCAGGTACTGGTCCTAGACCTGCTCTGCCACCTTGGGTAAGTCACTTCTTGAGGCCTGTTTTCTCAACTGTTATATGGTACTATCAACCTACTCAAGTCACAGGCAATTAATTATAAGGCCAAAGATAAGCCCTTTGTGAGTAAGACCTACCCAGAGGCAAATGGAATTTTTTAAAATTAATTTTCCAAGTCTGCAAAAGGTAGAGATTTAGGAATGCTAAAATCTTGGACACATACACACACATACTCTCTCTGGAGTAGATTGGAGGCAGGGGGCTTCTGAGCTTCAGGGCCCTCTCCCTCCTCTGGTTGTAACCTGAAGCATTAAACTTCCCTAGCGGCTATGGAATCAGAGGAGCAAAGTAGAGTTCTGACCATAAAATATACAGATCTATCTGTATGCTCACTGTAGTTATTTATAATACTAGAAAAACTGGATATGGCCCAAAATCAGTTCCAATAGAGGAACGGATAAAGCATTCATGGGATGAGAAACAGTGCAGCCACTAAGAATGAATATGACCTAGAAAGACATCCAAGATATATCAAGTGAGGATGGGAAGATGTGGCACAATATGCAGAGTATGATCCCAGTGTGATTTGAAATACATATAGTATGTACACAAGAAAAATGGGGAAAGAACACAAAGTAGTTGGTATCTCTTGGTGATTTTCATTGTCTAGTCTAAAAAAAAAGTTTACAAAGAACACAAATCACTTTTGACCTAATAAGAGTTTATTACCCATTTATTTATACATACTTTTAAAGAGTAGTGCCAGGAGATCCTCAAGAGACTGTGTGTGGCAGGCAAGAGTAGGGCTGTCACAGATGAGAGGGATTTGGGGGAGGGATGTAGGTGATGTCCCCCTCTCGATGATCCACTAGCACCTGGAGTCTGGTCCTCAACTGGTAGGCCCTACTCCAAAAACAGGTGTGCTTTTAAGAACTGACATACACTACTAAGCTCATGAAAGAAAACCAAAGAGAATACACTTAGGGCAGGGAACTACAAATGACATCAGGGGACATGTGTTTATGACTTGTGACCAGCATATCTCTGTAGCTGATCTACAAAGGAAGTCCAGCTATAACTGGGAAGATTCAAGATGAGGTGGGATTGACTATAATGGACTCAGGAGTCCACAAAGGGTATAACTTGCCACAGACTAGATAGAGTCCTTGAAGCATGGCATCCCTGTGTTAGTTTTGAGTGATAATTGTGAAACTTTCTGGCTTTCTGGGACTGTTCTGCCATGCTACAGGCTGGCCATCTACCTTCAGCTTACAGTCAATTTCGAGAAAAAGATTATTGACTACATTTTAGTATACTAAATCAAGTTACACACTTGATTCTCTATCTGTTAGTTTACACCAAATCACCTTAATTGGGGTTTGGGGATTCACCAAACATGTAATTTCTTGGCTTATTCCTACCTCCCAATTTGTGTGAATTCTACTAATAGATTCTCAGAAGGCAACCTTGTTTTATTCTAGTTATTTTTAGAAATGCCTCACCATCATCTTCACATATTGACTATAAAAGGTACAAAGGAGGTTAATAGAAAAGGGAGGAGGAAGCCATGAGATCAGAAGCTTTCAGGAAAAGTTCAAAGGTAATAAATAGAGTACTGTGTATTAGTAGAAACCAAGCACCTACCTTTGACCACTCACTATGCTAAATGCCTACATGCATTATTCATGACACCCACAACATAAATCCCATTTTACAGATGAGAAAACTGAAGCTTAGAAAAATAAGTGAGTTGCTCTGGGTCTAAGCTTGCAAAGTTGAACATGACTAAGAAACAGTCATTTTATTAAGTTTGTGAGGTCTGGAGAAACTTTCAGGGTGGAAGCAAGAAAAATGAAGGTACAAATAACAAGTTTTTTTGCAGGAAATTTGTGAACAGAGGAAAAAAGATGAAAGCACAAAAAGCCAGACACTATGGGAGTCTAGAGTCTTTTTAAGTTTAGGCAGACCTAAACTTGTTCTCTAGGACATTCCCACTGAGTGTCAGGCACTTTTGCTAGGTAGGTGTCTGGGATTTGCAGACAGAAAGGCAACCGCAAAGTTGGGAGGCAAAGAGTTTAAGAGCACATAGCCTGAGACTTAGCCTGGGTTAAAATATGGGACATTTCCTTCCTTACTGTCTCAAACCTTGTTAAAAAAAAATTTTTTTAATGCCTGCTGCCAGAACTGGAAGATCAATTCTGATATAAAAAATAGGAAATAGTCTCCTCAGAAGCAATAGAAGATACAAATTTCTTTTGTAAGAGCTTACGCTTTGTATCAGGATGTTTAGGTGTACAAAGTATGGGTTATTAGGTTCTTGTGGAATTAGCCTGGAAAATTAATACCATACATTAATACTCTTTCTATGGGTAGCTACTTTTGAGTATGAAACCACCACCTTACAAACTACTTTGTATGACTCAATCATTATGAGTTATTATTATTGCCCATATCTAGTTCTGGGGGAGTTAAGAGCAATATATTATGAACAGCTGTTACTAAAACCTAATACTCTACTTTCTTTTTCAAGTCACCCAGTAGCCAGCAGGCTGATTGATTGTTCTTTAAAAACAAAACAAAAAACCACTTTAATGTTTTGCTCTAAAATAACCAATGATTCTCTGAGACAAGTGGATGGACCTTACTTTCTTCCCCAGGGCTCCTTCCCCCTTTGCACCTACCAAGGAAAAACAAAGGAGACAATCCGAAACAATTAAAAGGATTTAAAAATTATTTACTCTTTACTTTAATTACAATAAATATTTGTCAATAATAAAATTAAACAATTTCAAATTAAAACCTACTGCATTACTTCTGAGTTTCACAGCAGCAGAAATAAACATATATCCAGTTGAAAGGATAAGGCTTCCAGAATCCAGTGGTTAAGATACAGTCAGGTCTTGATTATCTGGGCTAGCAGTGGGGAACAGTAATACTGATGATGTAAAACGTAACACAGAAATGCATAGCTGTACTCTATTGGTAAAATCTCAAATTATTTAAGACTTCACAACATTCCAGCTAAGGAATTTAAGCAAGCTGTGAAGCACGTTGCGCTAGATTTCCCCCCACCAGTGAAACCCATGCATGGCTGCTCCCTCAAGTTGCCTTCTGGCCAGGAACTCGAGGCCCCATCGCTATTCAGGGCCAGACACTTCAAACCTGGTGGAAGCAGCCATCTTTTGCAAAAGCTGTCTTTCTGGCTTACACAATTCCTGGTGAAAGGGAAGTGGAAAGGGACATATTTCAAAGGCCTTTTTTGGGGACTGAGATGATCTGGATGTAGGAAAGACTGTTGCTCCAGATGAGGTGGGCTCACAGAGTTACGGACTACACGCAGATTAAGTCAACACGCAGGAACAGTCTTAATTGGGACTTTCCATTTCGCTGATAATCAAGAATAGACTGCATGTGTATACTAATATATCATACACATATATCACAGAGAATATATGTGTACATATTAAATATGGGTATATACACACAATGCACATAACCAGATAAATGTTACACTATTTGCTATGAACACAGCGAGTCCTAGACAGACCAATTACAAATACATTAAATTAAACTACTTGAAAGAGAAAATAAGATTGTGTGCTCTCTTTATCCTCCACTCTAATATAATCTACCTGTTGCAAACATATTTCAGTTGTTAACATGGTGGTGTTTCTAGGTACCTGAGAAGGAACAGGAATGGAATCATCCTTTTATTTCAGAATAATACTACAGAAAGCAAACTGCAACAGGACTACCCTAAACAACTCAATAATTGATTCAGCCATGATTCCTGCCACCTACCTTAGTCAGGGCATGAAACCTCACTCAGAAGAGTATCAATTTCTTTTCTACAATTGGCTACAAATGTAATCTCTTTACCTTAGATGGGAGGGGAGGGAAAAGAGGTGGGGGAGGACAGCAGGGAGTTTGCCCCTGACTTTTCCCTTACCCAGAAGAAACGCTACTTAAAAAAAAAAAGAGTAAAATTATTACATGTTTCTGGGTCTTTATCTCCTGAGTGGCTAGTAGGATACATTATCTAAACAAAATAACCACAAAAAATATTAATAGTGTGGGCAGTTTTCATTAGTAGTCATTAATCTCAAAAGTCTAATACTTAGTACCAGTAATTTAGATTTA